TGAAGCTAGATCTGGCCTAGCAACCCAAGCACATAGAAAGAGAGAATATGGTGAGATTGTATGACAAGATACTCAGAAGGATATTCACTTTGAAGAATGTTCAGTTGGAAGGAATCTAGAAAGACCACATAAAAATTGATCTTTAATGAGCAAATGGGTAGGCAAAGTTCCCTATCCTGATAACAATCCCAAATATGCTTTTATTTAACCAATAGTTGATCCTATACAATATAAAGAAATTCCATATATACCTCAATTTATGGGACTAATTCATATGAAAATAATAGAAGTTCTTTAAACAGAGTTTCATAGAAAAGACCAAATAATAAAATCAGCTATAGTAGCATTGTATTTGTATTTGATTACTAAAAGAGATCGAGATAGCACAAGTCATACATCATTTGTATACAATCATGAAAGAGGAAAGATGTGATATTTGCTTTTAACAAATGATATAGATGAGCATATGGGAGCTTTGCAATAGGAAGGGAGGAAACTCTAAAAAAATTAAAATTTTACTTTCTAAGCTAATTATGATTTTTTTTGTAAAATAAGTCCAGATTTAACATTAACTCAAAAAAATTTTTTTTAGAGTTTCCTTCCTTTCTATTGCAAAGCTCCCATATCGATCTATATATATGTGGACTATTTCGGTAATGCATCTCGTGTAAATTGAATTTGAAGTTTATATAGCTATTATAGCTATAGCTATAGCTATTGCTATTGCTATACTTGCTATACGCTTCTATGTTATCATTAGAATAAATTCATAATTTAAAATTTCTTGTGCTACTTTTGGAGTGCATTAAATTTATGTTTGAATTTTGCAGAAATTTCGTTTCATTGATCTTTGTAGATCATTTGCATTTATTATTTTTATTTTTAATTTAAATAATAAAAAATGAAATAAAAAAAAAATTTCATTTCGTTTGATTTTTTGTGTTACATTAAATATTTTTGTTGATCAGTTGTTTTTGTGTTACAATGAGATTCTATTTCTTTTATTTCTCTTATTTGTAATGGTAGATTTCTTTGTTGATCAATTATGTTTCAATGTTACAATTGTCTTGATCATGAAAAAAATTTGTATTTCTTTTATTTTCCTTATTTGTAATAGTATGTTATACTAATTTATTAATTTCTTTTTAAAGAACTCTTACATAATATTTGTTGTTTTATGCATTTTTGTTATTTTATATTATATTATATTGTATTTTTATTTGTATTTTTATTTTTTTAAGTTATATCAAATTATGATTAATTTTTATTTTGTTAAAATATAAATTTATAAGATTTTTCTTTTGTTATATTTTTATTTAATATTTTGTCTTTTTAATTTATTGTTTCTTAAAATTTTACATCTATAACACTAGTAGAAATTATTTCTTTTAGCACTAATATCTTTCAATAACATTTATCTGATTCAGTCATGTGATTTAGCAAAATTTGACTTAAGTTACAAAAATTGATAGTTATTTATTACATCACACATAATATAATATTATTTCAGCATTAAGAACTTTCGGTTATAATAATCGGCAAAATTTTAGTTAAACTCAAGATTTAGCAACAAATCAACTGTATCTCACTGGTCAAAATCTGTTAAACTGATTTTTGTGAAAATTATAAAAACATTTTTTGTAAAGAGATAATAAAAATTATTTCAAAAGAAATGATATAATTATCTTTAAAGATACGTTAGAAATTGTTTCAAAAGAAATGATACATTCATCCTTAAAGAATGATAGAATCATCTTAAAAAAAAACAATATAATTATTCCAAATGAAACAATATAATCATCCTAAAGATATATTCATCTTAAAGGAATAATACATTTGTCTCTAAAGAAATGATACATTTATTTCCAAAGAGATGATAGAAATAATTTTTAAAGGAATAATATAATTATCTCAAAAGAGATGATAGAAATCATCTTAAAAGGAATGATACAATTATTCTAAAAGAGACGATAGAAATTGTCTTAAAAGGAATGATACAATCATCCTAAAAGAGACAATAAAAATTGTCTCAAAAGAAATGAATAATCATTTTCAAAAAGACAATAGAAATTATCCATAAAAAATGAACAATCATTTTCAAAAAGACGATATAAATTGTCCTTAAAGAAATGATACATTCATTTTCAAAAAAATAATAGAAATCGTTCCTAAAAGAATGATATAATCATCCCAAAAGAGACAATAGAAATTGTTCTTAAAGGAACGAACAATCATTCCCAAAGAGATAATAGAAATCATCCCTAAAGAAACGAATAATTGTTTCTAAAGAAACAATAGAAATCATCCTTAAAGAAATGATTCAATTATCATTTTAAAAAAATGATTTTTTCATCATTTTTAAGGAATGATATATCATCGTTTCAAAAGAATGATGAATTTTTTATCATTCTTTTGAAATAATATATCATCATTCTGAAATAATGTTTTTTATTATCATTCTTTCAGATGATATATCATTATTCTGAAATAATAAATTTTTTTATCATTCTTTCAGAACAATTAAATTATCATTCCAAAAGAATATTTTTTATCATTCTTAAGGAATGATCAAATCATCATTCCTTTTGAATGATTTTTATTATCATTTTTTTTTAGAATGATACTTTTATCATTCCTTTAGAATATATTTTACATCATTCTATTAGAATGATACATAATCATTCTGAAAAAATAATTTTTGTTATCATTCTTAAGAAATGATAAAACTATCATTCCTTTCAAATAATTATTTATATTGTTCTTTCAGAACAATTAAATTATCATTTCAAAAGAACATTTTTTTTACCATTCTTTCAAAATGATTTTTATTATTGTTCTTTGAAACAATATTTTATATTATTTTATTAAAATGATTCATAATCATTCTAAAAGAACGATTTTGTTATTATTCTTAAGAAATGATTAAACAATTATTCCTTTCAAATGATTTTCTATATTATTCTTAGAAACAATCAAATTATCGAATGATTTTCTATATCATTCTTAAGGAACGATAAAATTATCATTTCTTTTAAACAATTTTTGTTATCATTCTTAATGAATGATAAATTATCTTTATGATAAGTAAAAAATAATATCTAAATTTTTAGATTAATTGAAATTTAGTTCAGTTTACAATATAAAACATAAACTTTTGAAATATTCTAAATAAATTTTTTCTTTATTTTTTTCTTTTTTTTTTTCTAGTGAGATGATTTTTAGATAAAAATTTAACTTTTTTCTTTCTTTTTTCTTATTTTTTTTAGGAAATACATTAAAATAAGCTTTTAAAAGTGGTATTTTGATGTTTTTCTAACTGTTTTCTTTATTTTTTCTTTACACTTCTTTATGAATACATTAAGGTAAACCTTTTAGGAACAGTTTTTAGTAGTTTTTCTAACTGTTTTCTTTATTTTCTTTATTTTCTTTAGGAATACATTAAAATAAGCCTTTTAAAGATGGTATTTTAGTGGTTTTCTAACTGTTTTCTTTATTTTTTTTACTTTTTTTAGGAATACATTAAGGTTAGCCTTTCGTAAATAGTTTTAATGAATTTTTTAAATGTTTTCTTTATTTTTCTTATCTTTAAAAATCAAATATATCTTTTTTAAAATAAATATAATATAATATATATTCTTTTTAAGTAATTTATTATGTAATAATAAAATAAATTTATAAATCATAAATAAACAAAAAATGAGTTTTATTAATTTCAATTTTATAAATAGTTACTTAATTGATTTTGCTGATTGTTAACCAATTTTAAGCTTATTTATGCTGAATTTTGATCAATTTTTAACATAAATGCTGATTAACTGCTGATTTTCTATTTATTCAAAATGCTGTTTTTGGCAAAATTAAACTGTATGAATAGTATTCTATTAAAATTGAGGTACAGATCATATGATTTACTATGTCTCGTAACCCACTTTTAATAGATCAGCTCCCATATTTTATATTTCTTTATTTTTGTATATCTTATTTTAAAAATAATAAAAAATTTTTTATTCTAAATTTATATTATTTATACTTCACAGAATAAATTAATTACAAAATTAGAAAAATTGCACATTCATTTAAGAAAAGTTTGAAAAAGAACTTATTGTGAATCAGGATGGTAAAATAATATATATAAATATGATCAATTACTGTTTACTTTATACATTTGGTGAATATCATAAGCAACATACTGATTGATATGCTAAATGTAATCAACTATTTGAATTTATTCAGCATCTTATGACCAATCTCAAGAAACATCAATTAACTATTGAAAAAATGTCAAGATAAATTATATTACTTTTTTGACACATTAAGCAAGAAAAGTATATCTGAATGGTCAATTTAAAGCTAGACTTGCAAAGTTAGATAATGATGGAATAATTTTAGTATGTGATTATAAATGTGTATTTTACTTAAAATACATGGAAAACTAAAGAATAATTCTTTGGAAAGCATGGATGGAGTTTGCATACAATTTTAGTATTTACAAAATGTAATACTGATCAACTTTAATGTTCAAGCATTTGATCATTGGAATACGTGTAATCAAAATGTTAAAACAATCACTAGTATTACTCAATTGTTTTATTTTAAATGGCCAATTAATGCTGGATATCGATGCTTATCACATGATTATGGTTCTCACCCAAATTAACTATTATGCCTATAAACAAACCAACACCCAACATTACGTCTTATTTAATTCCAAAAAATTCATGGAATTTTCCACTTGAAAAATATTTTTTGTTTTTTTGTATGTACATGTACATGTATATACTATATACTATATAATTGTTAGATACAAATAAACAAGAAAAAGATAATGATCAACTATATGCAGTATAATAAATTTTTTTAGTATTATTAGTTGATAATTATTTTTATTATCTTCAATATACTGTAGACGAAAGGTTTGAATTGAAAAAAAGGATGGGTGTTAAAAAGCAACCAAAAATATGGAAAAGGAGGAGCGGGAAATCGGACATAAATTACAACTTTTATAGACCACGAGCACCAATACTTTGTAGAATAGCACAAACGCTATTAACTGCGACTTTACCACCATAACGAGCCATATAAAAGGCTGCAAAACTTCCTTTGACTATTCCCTTAATGCCGAATCCTAATAAACGGACAATTCCAACAATGATGGCTTTAGGAAAGTAGTAAAGAAATGCCATTCCGATTATTGCGATAATGAGAACGATGAAAATTTTGGCTACATCTTTGAGCGGTAATTCGGGTAATTTTGGTAAATCAGGCAATTCGGGTATTTCAGGTAATTCGGGCAAGTCGAGCATGAGTGTATTGCGGAGCTTTTCGTGATAAGTGGAAAATTTAATTTCAACATCTTCGACACCAGATAGCTGCACCGAGATCCTTTCGGGGATAATATTCTTTTTATCAATAGGAGCGCAGGCGACAAATTGGCACAGAATAATGACGACAAAAAACACCACCGCAAAGCATGCATTGGAAAACAGGATCCTATATTGGAGAAGAATATGAACGAGTGTTATTAAATGAGATGATAAAAAGGCAAACTGAAAATTACCTTCTGTTGATTGCCATTTCTAAAGCGTAAAAAAAATTATTAAAAAATAGTAAAAGAAACAACTGAATTTTGGAAATTTATAACAAATGAAATTCTCGATGCTTTTGTTTTCTGTTTTTGGACTAATCACGTGATTGTCAATTGAAATTTATACAGCAGTGTTGGTCGGCATTTTTTGATTAGATTATAAAATTTTTTGACTAAATGACCTTTTCATAATCAAGAGTTTCGTCTATTTTAAGGACGCCCTAAACAAAAATTTTATTTTATTAAACTAATAAGCTGAAAGAATCTGAAACCTTAAAGTACATTACTTAGACAAATATGACAACAGCATGTACAATCTTTAACAATAATAGATTTAAATACTTAATATAACAATAATCCATAAATCTTTGATGAAATTATACAGAACTTTTTTCTCCTCGCAAGTTTACTTGCCATTTAATTTCTATCAAATTTCAACTTATTATTTTAAAGGAATTCTTATTTTTTCAATATTTTTGGATTCTAGACGAATCACTCTTTAATATAAATAGTACAATTATATATTTAGCAGCGACTTTTTCACAAAATTTTTCCTTTGATTTACCGTCAGTTCCAGCTCCTAACAACTAACGACCAGAAAAAAAGATTATGATTTTTACGATATTGAAGGTGAAAAAAGCTTGAAGAAATTGGAGAGCTTTTCAAATATCTCATCGAATGAGAATAATTCGTTAGCATTCTTCGACGCCAGAGAGCTGCTGTTCTATTCGTTGCTATTTCTTCATTCTTGTATGTTTGAAGTTTAATTGAATCAGAATAAAAAAAAAAGCACAGTAAGCTTTATATGTATTTCGAGCTTGCAATAAAGGGGTTTACGGTAATTTCGAAAGTGTAAACTCTATTTTTGGTTATAAGAAAAAATAGGGAAGTTTAAGCTACAATTGTATTAACATATTTGATAGAATTCCGTTCCTCTTTAAGAGGTCTTATTTTATGTTTTATATACAATAAAATGATGAAAACAAAAAGGGTAATTTTATTTCAAAATTCAAGAAATCATCTCAATCGATTTATGTTGATTTTGTAATTCGGGAAACGTGATTCAATTGCAAAAATTGGATTATTTGAATTTGTGGAGAAGTTCTTATTCAGGGAGAATGAATTTATGATCTTAAAATATAATTCATAATAATTTTTCAATTTGTTTATTCTCGGAAATAATATTTCGATATTTACAAAATAAGGAAAGTAATAGTTTAATAAAATAACAGTTGGATTTTATAAATATGTATAAAGAAAATATAATACACCATATTAATACAATAAACAAATAACGCCAATGTTTATAATAACAACCTTTTTTTTTTATTTAATTAGGGGATTTTGTTTTGAATCGGAAATCCAATCAACTGGCAATGGATTTGATGATGTAACTGTATAAGTTGGGGGAGGTGTCCAATCATTTGATGTTGGTGGATGTGTAGAATAAACATAAAATGTAGGAGTTCGTTGCCCAGTGGCGGCAACGGGCAAAATCGTTGAATTTTGGGCTTGTTTTAACATTCGATTTGCGTATTTAAAGATCACATACGTAAAATATATCTTTAAAGAAATAAACGTGAGTATTAAATTAAAGAAATTCTTTTAAAATAGAAAAAAAAAAGATTTTAAAGTACATACCAAAACTATCTCACTAATGAAAAGTGACAAACCTTCCCTTGCCAAATAAACATCAATATAATGATTACAATCAACAATGGTTTCACGTTTAGAATTTTCACATTCTTCAACTAATGAAGATTTAAAAAAGATATTAAGGATGAAAAGAGTTGCACTATAGATAAGCGTAAATACAGTGAAAACCCAAAAGGCGATTGACAGACGATGCATCATAACAGCTTTTTCCTGTTTAAATGAAATCAAAATCAATACATAATTAAGATAGTGATCATTACATTTAGAATTACAATTATAAATTTGTCAGTTACCTTATTAACTGCGTGGATACCCAAAACACTCAAAATAGTTAAAAATGTATATAAAATGCCAGATATGCTTAAATATAATTTATCTGATGTCTCATTAACAGCTAATAATTTTTAAAATTGGATCGTTAATATATAGATATAATTTTAAAAGAAAAAAAAAATTTATTACTTACAGCTCAAAGTCAATAACGAAGTTAACGACCCAAGTATTCCAAAAAGCTAGAAAAATATGATAAAATTTAATAGATAGTCACATCAAAAACGGTTAATCCAATTCAAATTTCTTAAAATTACTTACGAGATACATTGATAAAATGGCTAAAACTCCAAATTGTTCTGGTATACAACCACAACAGCTTCGTCTCGTTATTTTATCATTTTGGATTGGGACAGATTCCACAATAGTTATGGTGGGAAAATTGCCTTTTTCAAAACTATTGCTATTAATATTGGCCATTTTTTTTCCTCGATTATTATATTATTTTTATATTTTTTTTTCTCGGTATTTCAAAAAAAAAAAAAAAACTATTTAAAAAAGTGGAAAAACACGTACAGCGATTTAAATAATAATAAGGAAAGTTTTTTAAAATAACAAGCTGTACCAAAAAAAGCGAATTTTTTTTATTTTAAAGCTGGTAAATCGACCTGCGATTTCCTTTTGGTTTATGATGAGGGAAAGGAAGCTTTTTTTATGGGTTTGTGAATTGCTATAAAATTTTCCATGTTGGTGATTTCTTCAGATTTATATACTTTCTATAATTACGAAAATCTTACTTTCTTTGTGTTCTATGTTTAGTTTTAATCACAATCGGCGCATTGTGACGTTTGATAAATGCCACGCCAAGTGTTTCGGCCTTTTGAAATATTCCTTGTTAAGTTTGTTTGATATTCTATTAGATTACCAGTTACAACATTAGGGTAACATTGACGTTTCCAACCTGGAAGAACTGATACCATTTTTCGTATTTTACTAATAAGGAAAGGGAAATAACGTTTTTTATATTAAAAGAAACAATACTTATATATTTAATTAATTGTAATTGTATACAAATTTATGAATGTATACATATATATACATATAGTATATAAGTAATTGATTTTATTAATAGGATAAAATTAGAAAAAAAAATCTAAATAATTAATTCAATAATAAAAATCAAAAAAAAAATCAAAATTTAAATTTATTATATATTTTAAAGTAATATGCTTTAATTTATATAATAAGAAAATTTTTTTTCAGAAATTAAATTATTTTAATACAAGTTAAAGAAAAAATTATATCTAAAACTTATATAAATCTTAGAAAAACCTATTATTATATAAAAAATAAGATTTCAAATACTCTTTCTTTTAGTTTAATAAAATTTTTTGAATCTTAATTTGTTAATTATTAACTATTCAATTATTGATAAGATATTATCTAATTTTACAAATTTGGACAATATGGGGCCTTTGCAATAGAAAGGGGGAAAACAGCCGAAAAAATCAAAAGTGAGTTAATGCTAAATTTGAACATATTTCAGCATAAAAATCATATTTGGCATATAAAGTAAAATTAATTTTTCCCGGCAGTTTCCCCCCTTTCTATTGCAAAGGCCCCATATACTCATTTTTTTTTAAAAAAATAATTCACAAATTATTTTGTAACTTTTGGTAACCTTCTTGCTATTAATATCATATGTAAAAATTAGTTTTTTGTATTGATTAAATATTCTATTAATGATAAATTTTTTTAAATAATATATATATTTTTGTTTTATATTTGCCGTGATCATGATTATAAACATTTTGTAAAAAACATAAATTATATATTGCTATTCTTTTGGTTTATTAAAATATTCTATCGTTTTTTATAGAATATATATACATATTACTATAAATATCACAAACAAAAAATCATAAGATGAGTTAATGAAAACTATGAAAAAAAGATATCAATATGAACTTAAAAAGCTAAATTAAGCAAGAAAAGAGAGATTTAACCGATAGAATAAGAATTTAGAAAGGAGTCATAAAAAATGACGCGTAAATTTAAAAATCTCATGTCACACAACATAAATCACATGATGATTATTAACCAAATTTTTATGATAATACCAAATAATTTGTCGGAATAATCATGTATTAAAAAAGTTTTAAAATTAATTATGACAAACTAATATTATTATTAGCAATTTAAAAAGAAAGGATACGTGAACTAATTAAACACTGAAGAGAAGAAAAAAATTTACATAGTGAAGGAAAATTATATAGCAGAGTAATGTGTTCAACATTAATAATAAAGAAGTCATTAAAAAATTAGGCGAGAAAAAAGCAAATGCAATCCGTAACCGGAGTACACAAATAAATGATGTTCATCGGCAGAAATTTGAAAAAACTCTAATTCATCTAGAAGTTCTTCTCTTGAAACTTCTCGACTCGAATCTGGCCAATATATCTTGTTATTACGGTAATATTGGAGAATATATCGAAAGACTTTACCATCTCGATCAAAAAAAAATTCATTTTTGTTATCAATTGTCTCTTCATCTTGAAACATCGTTCCAAGTAAAGTGCTCGGATGGGCAATTAATGTGGACCGAAAGGTCTCATACTGTTGATATAAGAGGTGAAAGCTGTTAATAAGTCATAGTTTAAGATCCTTTTTTTTTTTTAGTAAAGACTAACCTTAACCCCTCCTACATTAAGGATTAATTTTTTATCATTAATTATATTCATCTCGAGCTCAGGAGCAGCTCCTCTTGTTTGGGTATCTACACCGCAACCGTTGCATAGTTTTTTTTTCTGTAAATAAATAAGTGGTAAACGAGTGTGAGCGTGAGTGAAGAGAGAGTGAGTGAGAGAGAGTGAGTGAGTGAGTGAGTGAGTGAGAAGCGAAGGAGCGAAGGAGCGAAGGAATTGAGAAATAGCTTTCTGGTCTTCTTAACTGTTATAAGGAAGGTACATAGCTCCGGAATTGGCAGACCTTATGACATTTTTATTTTAAGAAGATAAGGAGAGCAAAAATCATAACCCCAACGCTCCACCAAGAAAGAGCAAGCAAAAAAGCAAGCAAAAAAATAATCCCCGCCCCTTACACCTTTGCAAAGAGAAGTTATATATATAACTTACCAGTAGACATGGTAGGAATGGACATTTTGAAGACGCGATTGAAGTTTAATAAGAAAGTAAATTTAGTAAGTTTGAAAGGAGAGAGTCGAAGAAGTTTTTTGAAAAAGAAAAAGGAAAAAAATATTTATTTATATCATATCGACCGATATATCGTGTATGAGTATAATGTAGTTTGATATGCTTGATATGACGAAATAGAGACATTACGAAAATTCAATTATCGGTATGCGAAAAAAACAATACATTTTTATCATTATCGGGGTATTTATTAAAAAAAGTGAATTAATGTTACGTTTCCGTGACAGTTCTAGATCGACTGAAAAAAAATGTAACCCAATCACATTTACAATTGAACAAATTTTTGATTGATCGGATCGAAAAATTTGACAGTTCTGCACGCATAAACAGATTAATTTATATTTTTATTATGTATTGAAAACTTTTCTGACTAATATAACTTAAACTGCAACTCTACGAATAGCAAGTAAGATTTTGATAAATAGGCAAAATTTTTCGCTTCAGACTCATAACGGTTTCCGTTTCCTGCGTATTAAAAGATCGATCAATCCGATCCGATCTAGAAATGAACAGGGCTCATATATTTAATTTGATTGAACATCTAAAAATCGGTTCTATGATCAGACTATGGTCTAAACCGTCCAATCGCAGACCTACTTAGCTAGCTTAATTTATCTTGCACGTGAATAAGAATTGCCTTCATTTTTTACTATTTAATCTGGGAACTTGGTTTTTTTAGGGTGTGAAATCCTATTTGATACTCGTTATTTGTCATAGACGCCACCCGTGAGATTAGGGTTGGTTTATTAAAATTAGCCACATTATATATATTTATCACGTGTCCGAGGATTTTTGATGGTGAATTTTGCCTACCTGGCCAACAATATACTATACGTAAACACAAGTATAACAATCTCACATCGACTCAATTTTAACATCTCGTGTAACAAAGCGTAAAAAGTATAAAGTCCTTCGCTACGCTCCGGACTAATTTATTAAGGTATATTATTTTAGCCAGTAATTTATTTTATTAAGAGATGCCAGTACAAATATTAGCGCGAATCATCAAATGTTTCAATTTCCAGATCGGAATTATAGTCATTCTTTCAGTTTTAGTTACTTTTTGGCCTTCATATATCAATTTATATAAATTTCATTGACATTAAAGAAAAAAAATCTTGGTTCACCTTGCCAAGCAAGCATGTCGCATTGGTACTTTCATCTTCATGTAATATTTGGTTCACCTCATAAGTGAACAATAATTACCGAAGAGAGAATAGTCGGGAATATATCATAGATTTACATATAAACTAGTTGGACATACCAGTGAAGATCATTTCAAAATGGTTTCAGACGAGACCTTTTTTATTTTGAATCAATATCTGCCACGCTTATTTTTACTGCTTTCGGATTTCCTAATGAATATAATTAAGTTGTGAATTTATTATTTGAATTAAATGGCAACATACAGTAAATACTTACGATGTATCTAATCCACGTTTACTTCCTTTTTTAGCATCATCCAAGAACTGATTAAAACCAAATGGATCTGCTTCTTCTTTTTCGAATTCTACAGGTCCTTCTCTTGACTGGAATTTAAATAAATAATTTTATTCATTTTTTTTTAAATTTTTAATAAATTAAATGAATGTACTGAATAAAAAATTTTGCAAACCTGTGCAATATCAGCTCCTTGAAATCCTTTTGTTATTCCGAACCGATCTACACTTAGCATCTTATTAATGTTTTCGGCATTACCACCTCCATATAGATCTGAATCGTACTCCTTTTTGGGTTTATATATACTTGAAGAACTTGTACCAGCGAACAATGGTTTATCATAGAGATCGTAAGCTATTTGAAACAAAGTTATTAAATGTCGATACAAATTAAAAAAAAAAAAATAATTATACAAATTGAAAATGTATTACCTTCATCATCTTTGAAACCAGAATCCAGACCTTCTGATTGATTGAACAATCGAGCGTCGAACATACTTTCTTTACTTAACGTTGGTTTGGCCAATCCCAAAGCAATTTTTTCTGAAATATCTCTGTTCTGCTCACTAGAAATTTTTTACGATAATAAAGATTTAAACAACAGGTTTAATTTTAATAAAATGAACTGACAATATCAAACTTATAAATTACCGAGCAAGATATTTAGCTCTCTGTTCAGCGCCCATTCTGGAAAGTCTATATTCTCTCTCACGTTCTCTCCGTCGATCTTGTCTCAATTCTTCTCTCTCTCGTACTTTCTCTTCTTCGGATTCAGACTCCGAATCGGTCTCTGCGGTAGCAGCAGTTCCGGATACGCCTCCAGATGTTGAAGAGATACCGGCTCTAATATTATCAACGATGTGGTATTAATATTTTGTTTATATATATATATATAATTTTTAAATGATATCTCATACCTTTCCTCTCGTGCTCTCTGCGCTAACATGCGTAGACGCTTTTCTTTTTCTTCTTTTTCCTTTTGAGCAAGTTTGTCTCTCATCAAAGCACGTTGTCGAACTTCTTCACGAGCATGTCGATCTGCTGCATAAAGAGCTTCAGACAATTTTGCAAAGTTATCATTGATGGTAACTTCTTGCAACCCTCGTCCATCTGCCGCTAAACGTTTATCAAGCGGAATGGTATATCCTTTTGCATTTTTCCAGTTAGATATACAAGGTGGAATAATCCATTCTTGTTGTTCTTTGGCAGTAACTTTGCGAGGGGGAGAATGTAATACTGGTGCCGGTGGTGATGGTGGACCTATATAACAAATAACAATATGTTAGTATAAGTTTAAACAAAGAAATTAAAAAAAAAAGCACTTAAATCTTAAATTTACCTCGGGGGATCTTTTTATGTTTGAATTTTGGGGGTTCCATTGGGTCAACTGGCATTTCTACCATTCTAATAATTCTCTGATTTGCACCAGAATTGTAAGCTTCACCTTGCTGCCCGGGAGTATATCGGATATATGTTGGTTCTAGAGGTTTATTGACCTTCACATTTTTAGGTTGCGTAGCTTTTATTTTACCTAACATTATCAAAATGTCCAATTAGAATTGCTTTCTATAATTAAACGTTTTAAACTCATGTATATTAATTACCCTGTACAATCTTTTCTAAAGCTTCTCTTGTTTTTTCCATTGTCTCTTTTACTTCATCCTCGCTAGGTCTTTCTAAAGTAACTTTTTCAACATCAACTCTTTGATTGATGGGTACAAGGTCTTTGAATTGTGAATGAATAATACGATCTTCAGTATGACCATGCCTCGCAATAGCATCATATCGAATGTTTCCTTCGGCGTCTACTTGTAATGCAAGAGATTCGGCGCTTTTCGTCTATAGAATATACACTTATATAAGTTTCGCAAATGCATAAATAAACAAGCCAATTCAATAGCCCACTCACCGTCTTCCTACGACCCATGTCCAATGGATATTGTGCTACATGTATTTCAGGGAAAGCACCACCTTTTCCAAAGTCCTCCGAATTTCTTGGTTTCCAACCAGCTCTCTGTCCATATGGAGGTGGTTGTTTCCTTTGTTTTATAGATACTAGCTCATCGTATTTTTGTTCATACTTGTTTTGCTGTTCCGAGCTTAAAAGCTGATGTCGTGGTTTTGGCAGTACGCTAAAAACGAATTACACTGATTAGATTCGTAAACAATCCAAAAAACGCAAAGAAAATTGATTTACGTTGAAAGATTAGACATTGAAAATATGAGCTTTTATAACTTCTTTTGGAATGAGGAATAATGTAAAAAAATTCAAGTTATTAAAGGAAGCAAGCAACGATCTGGGAAGTTTTGGTAATTATGTTATTTTATGATTAAAAGCAACGACAGATAGTAACTTACAATACTTGTATCATTTCAAATCATTTTTTTTTTGAGGCGTTTCTGATCATTTCTATAAATGGAATTTGTCAAAAAAAAAATTAATTTTTAAAAAAGTTGATTTAGTAAAAATCGGACAGAGAATTTTTTAATTAAATAATTTCTATTTCTTTCAGGATATTTTTTTAAATATTTACTTCTTTCCTACTAATATAATAGCTTGTTTTTTGATCATTTTAGATTATTAAAAAAGTTGTAAATTTCGTCATTGAATCCCGTAGTTTTGAATTTTAACAAATAATGGTTCAACGTTGACCAATTAAATGATTACAACATTTTGACATTGTCGATCAACTTTTTTTGCGCGCGTTAATTTGAAACGATATTTATTGTAAATATATAGAAAATAATTTAATTATTATCAAGAAAAAATGGAGTTTATCAATTATTTAATAATGTTTGCTATTGTAACAATTTGTGGAGTAAGTCTTTTTTTAAGTTTATACTTACGACAATTTTATAATTTAATGCGAAACCCATCCATATTAAATTTTTTTTACCAAATAGTTGACCATAGGGTTGATTTTAATGTCACCACGACCACGACCACTAACCGATAATGAAAAATATTACAAGCGTTCTAGTACGGATAAAGCAAGATTATTACCCAGTATATTTGATGAACCACCGAAATATACTTATTCAATAATAGTACCGGCATATAATGAAGCACAAAGAATGCCTAATATGTTAAAAGAGACGGTAAAATATTTAGAAGATCGTAAGGATTCGGATAAAACATTTTCATATGAAATTATTGTTGTTGATGATGCTAGTGATGATGGCACTAGTAACGTTGCATTGGAATTTTCTAAATCTAGAGGGATTGAATTAAAAGTATTAACTTTGGAAAAGAATCGAAAAAAAGGTGGCGCTGTTACTCTGGTATTTCTATGTGGGATAATTTATTTTTTTGTTGTTGTTGGTTAGGAAATGTTGAATAAAGTTTTTTTTTTTTTTTAGGGTATATTATGTGCTAGTGGGAAATATATTTTGTTTGCTGATGCGGATGGAGCGACAAAATTTTCCGATCTAGATTGTTTAGAGAAGGAGTTAAGTAAAATTTCAAAAGAAGGATACGGAGTAGCTGTTGGATCTAGAGCTCATTTAATGAAAACTGAAGCTGTAGTCAAAGTAAGGTTTCTAGTATTTTATTTTTATTTTTTTTTTTTTGAAAATCGTAATCTTTTTTCACGTACAAATATATTTATAGTTCTTTCCTTTTATTTCCACAGAGATCATTAATTAGAAACTTTTTAATGCATTCGTTTCATAAATTATTATATTTATTAGGTATAAGAGCAATAAAAGATACACAGTGCGGATTTAAATTATTCACGAGGAAAGCAGCATTAAACATATTTAATAATATACACGTAGAAGGATGGATATTTGATATTGAAGTGTTATTGGTAGCACAATATTTCAAAATGCCCATCGTAGAAGTATCTGTTACTTGGCATGAGATAGATGGATCTAAAGTTTCACTCATAAAAGATTCTATTAAAATGGCCATTGATTTGTTAATTATTAGGTTGAATTACCTTTTTGGGTTTTGGAAAGTTAAAGATTTTAATTCTTTAAGTAAAATTAAAAGTGAATAACTTTGAAATTTTCGTGTAAATAGAATAAATAATTCATGATACCAAGGCTTTTTAATTAAGTTAAATAAAGAAAATCACAAGATTAAGTTCAGATAATATAACAAAACAATATATACAAAACACCACAGTATTAGCCTTCAATTTTCTTTTTCTCACTCGTACCTCCTTCTTTCTAACTATTACAAAAATAATTTAGAGTCTAAGGGGACGGTACTTACTCTATCATTATCAACTCCATTACCAAGACGAGATAAATTCCAATTCTCTTCGATAGTAGGCACCCAACTAAAATGACTATATCTCGTACCATCATTATGCGTAACAGAGTTTAATACATTAGGTCCAATAAGTGTAGTATAAATCTGATTATAGTTAGCTAAATTAAAATCAATATAAGTAGAGGCTTCGTCAAAAGTAATCACTAAGAGGGTTCTAGAAGAAGTTAATAAATGTTGAATTAAAGGAATGAATTCATTTTTTAAAAAATTACTAGCAAATTTTAAATTGGTTTTCTCTCCATTATTATTAATATTTGGCACGTAAAATACATATTGTGGAACATCATCTTTTTCTATATCATCAGCTAATTGTTTTGAATTAACGATTTTTGATACCATGGTTGGGTTATTCCTTATATTATTCATTGAGATAAATGGATTATGTTTACGAACATATAATTTATCATCTGATGCATCCGCTTTAAATCCATTACCGGGATAATTTTCTAAATATGCTTTCCATGTAATGCTTTTCTCTTCTAATAATTCCGGTAATGAAGGTCCATCTAAATTTTGTGAAAAATCTGTCAACATTCCACTTTTTGATGAACATATCATCGATATATAATTTGGTTGTGATGGATGCCATATTCCATGTATATCTTCTAATAAAATTCCTTGTTTTGACTATAAAAAAATAAAGCATATGTTTAATATTATTTCTTTTTTTTTTTAAAAAAAAAAAAAAAATACTAACGAGAAATAACAAGTATGGATCTTTTATTGCAATATCGTAGTCCGTGGATGACAAAACAATAGTTATGATTCTTTTTTTTTAAAAAGAAAATAAAAATTGATACATTAATAAATTAATAAATGGTGTTCTCCCTTCCCTGAAATATTAGTAAGTAAATACGTACCGATCAAAGTATATTCCGGGAACAACAGCCACACAGGTAAAACTCAATATATTCACAACTACTAAAAAACTTAAAAAGATTCGAACTAGATCCATTTCTTTTTAACAATACTTTTGAAAAAAAATTTTTTTTTTTGTCTAAAATTATATAAAGTTTTTGGAAAGAACCGCTTACTTTACATAGCGAGTAAAAATAAATATAAAGAAATAGTTTAGTATGAGCCACAAAGGATCGTGCTTATGACAAGTTTTTTCTATGAGATAACCATATATTTCATTTTGCGAAAAGATATTTGATTTAAATCTGTTTAATGTACTGTATATCACACCATATCGAGTATCGTAATCCCGAAATTTTCATCTGAGATTACCCCTATATTATAAAATAAAATAAAAATTAATTAAAATTCTAATTCGATATTAAAAAATTTGTTCTTATAATATCATCAGTATGAGATTGTTTAACCCTTGGTTATTCTCTAGATGTATATCCTATAGTTGTTTCATTTTTATGTTTGTTTACCAAAGTATACTGTAGCTAATTTTATAATATTCTTTAATATTTTACTACCAATTAAAAAGAATAAGAAGAATTAAGATCAATCATGATAAATAAAAATAATGTTTTTGTTTCTTCATTTTCTACAAAAAAAAAAAAACCTAAAATATTATTTACTAATATTAATGTTAATGATTTTGCTGTTTATTATTTATTTGATATTTTTTTTAGCTGATTAATTGGCTATTCTATCTATAATAATGAAACATTAAAGTAGAAAGCAAAATTTATTATATGTTATTTTTTTAAACTTTTTATCCTTATCATTACTTATCATTTCAAAATTTTACATTTGTCACATAACTTTGCTTTATTTTCTATATAAATATTTTAATTTTAATTTAGTTTCTTTTAATTCACTATCACAATTCTCAATACAACTTTTACATAAATTTTCTTTTTTTTGAAAAACAAAATATAAATGAAAAAAGTTCAGTTTAAAAGTATTTTAATGAATATAAATGATTAAAAAAAAGATTAATCAAATATTATATAATCTATAAAAATTATATTTTTATTATATAACTTAATTTAAGCTGATATAATTTTATTATATAATTAAATTAATGCAATATTTAATTAATTAATAGATAAATCAATTATTATATAAAAATATAACAAATTATTAAAATACATTAATTAGAAAATAAGAAAAATACTAAATTATATTTATATTATTAAGCAATTATATAAGCAGTGTATAAAATCTATGTGCATAATGTGCATATATACAAATTAATTTTTTGTATACACATATTATACAACATAAAATATGCACAAATTATTACTAATCATAGATAAATTATGTACAAAAAGGTAATTTTACATAAGAAATTATTATAATTTTCTTATTTTAGAAATAATTTATCAATTTATACACATAAATTTTAACTTAGATTTTATATACTGATTGTAAGTATTTATTACATCACTATAATGGTCTCATGAATATTGTGAAAATCATCTACATTGAGAACAATTAGGCTTTTATTCTATTAAAATTAGATGATTTATTTTAATTATAAAATAAAACCTTTTAAGAATTTTTATATTATACTTATATTATTAGTTAAAAACCTTTCCTTTATTATTGTATGTTCTTCTGAGTTTTCTGTCTTACAATAATTATACACCTTACCATCAAGCCTATATCAGCTAATATCTCTAGAGCTGATAAAGAAATTTCAGATACATTTAATAAAAATCCAACTTTCATTTTGATTTTATTAATAAACTTATTGTTAAATTTTGTTAAAAAATAATAAAATAAAACTAATTTTCTTTTATTTTTTTATTAATCATATTATTTTTAGCTTATTGTTATAGTTTAATTCCAGCTATTAATTGATTAAAAAACCTTTTAATGATAGTTCAGCTTTTTCAAGCATTTTTGAAAACTCTTCTGATTTAAAATAGGTTTTTTTTTATACACTCATTAACTTTTATATAACACTTCTACTATTAGTTTGATTTTCTTATTAAAAGGAATTAATTCTAAAAAAAATGATTATATAAAAAATAAGTTCAACATGTAACTATAAATAAAAAATAGTTGGCTTACTCAGCTTCATTTTATTAAGCTCTACACATACTAAGGGCAGTATTGTCATAGGACGCGAATACAGACATAAACTAGACCAGACCAGACTGTCTGTGTTTATGTTTGAGATTTTTTTATGTTCAGGACTTTTTGTTCGCATTAATGCTGGCTATATCTCTTGTTAATTCTATCCAAAAGATATTTAATATCAGTCTATGTCCCAACTGTCCTATGGACACAGTCCCAGACATAGACTTTTAAATGTCCTGTATCTGCCAAAAATTACCAGGACAACATCCATATATAACACTGACTAAGGATGCAGACATTTATTAGAGTTATAACCTTAGTTATAACATTAATAAGTTGTAAAAAGATTATAACATATACATTTAAATTTTATATGCTGTATATCGTATCATGTGCCATATGTCATATCATGTATCATATATCATATCATATGCTGTATATTATATCATATGCTATATATAGTATTATATATTATTAATATAAACATATAATTTGTGTTTTTTAAAAATTTATTAAAAGCAAAGCAAATTAAAGAAAATTACATATCTAGAAATTAAGAAATTTAAAGATTTTCTTGAAGAAAAAGATTAACCAAATCTTCTGGATTATATTCTAAATTAGAAGATAAAATAATATTATTTTGATCTTTTTCTTTGCTATGTAATTCATTATCGTTAATATCAAAAATTGGTAAAGTAAGATCAATAATATTTTCTAAAACTAGTGTATCTCTAGAAGATACATTCAAATTATTAGTAATAAAATCATCAACCAATTCTTTCTCATCTGATTCTAAAGTTATTATTATTCTCACAGATGAATAATTTGTTGCTTCTTTTAATTCATCATTTGTTAACTTCTTACCATAATATAAAAGTCCAGATTTGATATTAGTCAAATAATATGATCTAATTTTGGTCATATTTTCAAGTTTTGTACTGCCAATCTAGTTCTTCAATCACTAATTAACCATTTAAGTGTTGAAAAATTTCGCTCACAACTAGATTGGGAAAGAATTATTCCAAATAATCAAAATGCAAGTTCAGCCAAATGGAAAGAATTATTTTTAATAGAACTTCACCATAATTCAGGAGTATCCATATTTTCAATATAAAATAAATCATAAAGTGCCAAACAAGCTTCAAATCAGCGTAATTGAGATATTTATTCATAACTTTTATGCTTATCGTGATCAAGACTTTGCTATAATTTTGTTGCAATTAAAGCAGTATCTCTAAATCCTTCATTACATAATTCACAATCCATATAAATTGATATTAATAATAAAATTTAATTAAATAATTAAAAAAAAATGTAAATTATATAAACCTCTATATTGTGGATGTATAAAATAACAGAGTAAATATGCTGGATGCTGAAATTCAAGATAACAATTATTGAATATATATATATTGCTGAAATTTTAAATGGATTTAGATTAGGTAACTGGTATATTGCTATTGCTAACTTAATCATGTGAATAAAGCAATCAGCTAAGGTTGCTATATTTAATTCAAGTATATTGATACATTCTTTAATAGGAGTCCAAATTGAATGAATATGCTGACATGTAATAAAAAAACTCTTCATTTTCTAATAAATCACGCACATCTGTATTTGAAATAATACTTTGATATTTAAGAATGATCTAAATATTAATAATTATTATTAG